AGACTCCGGCAGGTAAGCGCGCGGCGCTCCGACCGAGCTTTGCCCCGCGAGCTCCCGGGCCCGTGGCGTAGCTCGGAAGAAAGTGTGAATGTGGGGTCTCCGCGCGTTACGAGCGCGCTCCCCGTGTGTGTCTGAGTGCGGGGTGTGTGATTGTGTGCTCGGGGTGTTGGGTGACTGCGAATGTTGTGTGTTCGTAGTTCTGTGTGTTGTGTCTGCGAGTATGCTGGGGTGAATGTTGTGTGCATCGAGACACTGGACGTGCGCTGAGTGTCTTGTGTGTCTGCCAGTGCACAGTGCTTATGCGGCTGAGTAGGTTGTGTGTCTGCTGTGTGTGCATCTGAGTTTGGTTTTGTGGCTGGAGTTGTGTCTGCTAATATGTTGCATTTGTTTGCATTTGGTATGCCGGAGCCAGGAGTACTGTTTGTTGTGTGTTCGAGAATGGTGTGTGTGTGTGTGTGTGTGTGTGTGTGTGTGTGTGTGTGTGTGTGTGTGTGTGTGTGTGTATGCGTGTGGCTGGGGAGAGCTCTGTGGCTCCTGCCCGAGTGCGGAGCCGGGAACGCGTGTGTGGTGTGTGCTTGTGAGATCCGTGTACGTGTGCAGGCGTGGGAATGGGTCCGGAACGTGTGTGTCCGTGAGCCGTGGGCGCGGTGTGAACGTGTGGAAGTGTCTGGGGTGTGTGGTGCGCGCCGCCGGGGCCGTGTGGGTCCGAGGGAAGGCCAAGTGGAAGAGGATGCGTGTTGGGAGCGTGTCGGTGAGCGCTTGGCTGCGTGTCCAGGAATGCTGCGAGGGCGGCGCGCGCCTGGGCCGTGGCCGAGTGTGCCCGGGGCCCAAGGGGACGGCGGTGTGCGTGTGTGTGTGCGTGATGCTCCCGGCCGGAACAAGTTGTCGCGGCGGCGCCCCTCAGCGGCTTGGGCCTGCGATTCGGAAGGGAGGGAGGGAAGGGGATACGCCGTCCGCCGCCGCGGACTCCGACATGTCGGGCTGTTTGTTGTTTCGCAAGTTCTGCGGGCGCGGGCGGGAGGCTGATCCGAGGCGGCGCCGGGCCGCGGGGGCTGCGCGCGGAGGGGAGCGGGGCGGGCGGTCCCGGCCGGGCTGCGGCGTCGGGGCCGGGTCAGGCCTGGCTCACGGTCGCGGGACAGCGACCCCGCGGTAGCTCGTAGGAAGCGCTGGAAACGCCCGGGTCCCCCGGGACGCTCCCTCGGCCTCCGTCGGCTCGGCAACTTTGTGCTGCCTCGGGCTGGCCCGGCCCGCGGTGTGCGTATGTGTGAGTGCATACGCGTGTCTCCGCGCTCGCCCTGCGGTGTGATCGCGCACTCACTGGTGTAGCTTTTGGGGGATGTGTGTGATCGCGTGTCTGAATGTGTGTATCCAGAGCCTGTTTGTGTGTCCATGCGCGGGCCGGAGTGCGGTGGATCGTGTATATGGAACCAGGGTGTGTTTGTGTGTGCATGTCCCACTCCCCCAGTCCAGGGCCGCAGGCCGTGGCCTCCTTCAGCCGCGTTGTGCGGACGCTCTCCCGCGGGCTTTCCCCTCTCCGGCTTTGTTGCCCGACATAGAGTAACCGGAAGACGCCCGGGGCGGGATCAGAGCTCAGACACGCGTCGGCCCCCCGGAGAGACTCCTGGCAGCCTGCCGCAGACAGCGGCCCTCCCGGGGATAGAGTTCATCCCGCCCTTGCTTGGGTGTCTGAGTCCGGAGTTACCTGTGCTCTGGGTGTCCCCTGCCACTGGCTCCCCGCTCCAGGTTCAGGCCAAGGTGACCTACCTCCCTATCCTGCCCCCAACTCTTCGGGATCAAACCTATAGGGTACCCTATGTTCACTCACCCCCATCCCTATCACCATCACCTCCTTTCGGAAAACGCAGGAGAATTCTTGCTTCATGGGGACTGTCAAGAACCCAGGTTTGAAGTGAGACCTAGAGCAGTTACTCCCATTCTTGATCCTCAGTTTCCTCATCTGCCTCAGGGCCTTAATGATGATGGTGTGTGGTACTTGGTAGACTGTAAAGTGAGGCTCCATCTGGGAGGAACAGAGAATAAAGATGGGTTTGAGGTTTGTTACAAAGCCCTAGAGGCTGTGATATGAAGCCAGGGAATTTGTGTTCAAGTTCTGCCTCTGCCACTTGCTGCCAGTGTGACCTTGGACATGTCACTTCTAAGTTCCTGGCACCCTTGTAGCAATTACTATTACAGCCTAATTCAGAAGCCCTTGGCAAAAGAGAGGTGGTAGCCCCTGCCCCCAAATTGCATAGAGTCCCAGCTCCCCCCCCATCTGCCTCCGGAGTGTGTGTGTGGGGCATGATGTATGATGTCTCAGCTGTGCAAACCCAGCAGTAATTTATTCCACTGTGCCTGGCTCATTCTGTTCTTTTGGTCTCTGGAGTTGTGCACAGCAGAAATGAGGTAGCAGTGCCCAGTGGTTTCAGGTTGGGCAATCAGGACTTGTCAGGACAGCCCTGATTGCCCTTGGGCTAGGGAAGGGGAGCTTGGCAGGAAGTGGGGAGCAGGGTAACAGGGTCAGGGTAGGGTGATGAGCTCCTTGGCTGCCTCCTGCCCAGCTCTGTACAGGGCAGCACTCTACTTTCTGGAGGCATGCCACCATCCTTCCGTGCTTTGCCCAGCCAAGCTGGGCTTGTGGGGTGGCCTTCTCACGCAGAGCTGGGTCAGCTAGAGTAGCAGGGGGTGCCATGTCCCCCCTTCCTCCTCTCAACCCCCTTCTCCTTCAATCTACCCACCCTGCATTGGATCCATCCTATCCCTATGCCCTCTCAGGTCTCTCCCTCTGTCCCTCTCTCTCCATCTTTAGTCATATCTCACCTGTAGGAATGCTCCAGGCCCTTCCCTCCACTGTGCCAGGGATCTTCCTAAAATGCATGATTTAAACCTTGGTTTAAAACCCTTTGCAAGCTTCCCATTGGCTTCGGGGTTAAGTCTTTCCTCTTGATCTTGTCCCATGCTCCTGTCTGTTCAGCCCAGTCTTGTTTTGTGATCCTGTGATCTGAACAGCCTGACTCACTCACCAATAGCACCCGAATACCCACTGCCCTCTGTGCTTTCTTCCCAAGACTCTCTAATGACCACCTCTTCACAGGTGGATCTCTGCAACCTCCTCCCTGAAGCCTTCCTTGGCTGTTCTCTGTCCTAGCCCAGGAAGGGGAGGGTGGGGTTGATTGGATTTTTAAACAGCATTGTAATTACAATTTATTAGTCCCATCTCCCTTACCAGGATATGGATTCTGTGAGGACTGAGACTGGGCATTTCCAAATCTTTAGTGCCAAGCACAAGGCACCCCACCCAACACACCTAGTCTAACTAAAAGTTCGGGGCATGAAAGAATGAATGAAGTCAGGTGGGTCAAGTTCAGAGCTGGAGATGCCAGACGGGGGAGCACTGACTCCATTGTAGGTAGAGATTAAAGGAATAAGTTTTCCCTCCAGAATCTGGAAAATTCTGCTGGGGGATGGGGTTCTGTTGTGAAAAGGCCAAGTCAAAAGTGTCATCTGGGAGCCATGAATTCAGGAGGTTAGGTCCCTGGCAGAGACCTAAGGGAGCAGGTTTCCTATAGGTAGCCCCTGCCCCAGATTCTCTGAACTGCCTCCCCTGCCCTTGCCTGGCCCCCAGCAGCTGGCTGGGCCTCTCCAGTCCCCACTCTCAGCCCTTTGTGATGAGGCCTGGGCCGTTGGTGAGGCATCGAGTCCCAACTGTCAGTTTGAGCCTGAGCTTGTCTGTCTGGTGAAGAGGGAGGAGGGAAGAGGGGTAAAGAGGAGGCAAAGGAGGAAGAAGGGAGGGAGAAGGGAGGCAGGGCCCTTAGTTGCACAGCTTCCCTCATCCTTAGTCCTAGATCTTATGGTGGGGCCACACCTGGAGGGAAGGGGAAGAGCTAAGTCCTGTGGTGATCCTTGCAGGTGGAGTTGGGGGAGGCTAATCGAGGTGTGTGCATGCTGATTTGACTCTGGTCTCTGGGCAGACAGAGG